CTAAAAAAAAAAAAAAAAAAAAAAATCAGAAGCACCCAGCGTGGTCCATTAGGTTGTTTCAGTTCTGGTATCCGGTGCATTTTTTTTAGCTTTTCTTCTTTTTTTTTAAATTCTTACCTGAGGATGTTTTTTCCATTGATTTTTTAGAGAGAGGGGAAGGGAGGGAGGAGTGGGGGGAGTGGGGAGAAGCATCAGTGTGAGAGACACATCATTGGGTTGCCTCTCGCATGTACCCCACCTGGGGCCAGGGAACAAACCTGAAACCCAGGTACGTGCCCTTGACCAGGAATCAAACCCGTGACCCTTTGGTCCGTGGGCCTGCGCTCCAACCACTGGGCGCACCGGCCGGGGCGAAGTTTTTAATCTTACATATTTATAGTCCCACAAAAAGTTGCAGAAACAGTACTGGGAGGTCCATGTGCAAGTCACCAAGCTCCACCCAGTGACGACGTTCCACATGACTGAGAGACCACACCAGTGCATCATGGGGCCAGAACTGGACGTGGCACAGATTCCTTCAGCATCTTTAAAAAAAACAGTGTGTGTCTCCTGTACCTGCCATTAGACCTTTCCCAGGGAGTCTCGTTGACTTTTCCTTCGAATGGCCATACTTTCCCATTTCTTTGTAGCCTTTGTTGGACACCGGACATTTGGGCCTAACAGTGTGGTAGTGCTGGAGATCACATTACCCCCCTTCCCGGGTATGCTGTTCTTCGTCGCTATTGTTTGATTGTTGTAGATCGTCTGTGTGTTGAGGACCACCTGAGGTATAAGCCTATGGTCTTCTCAGGCCTCTGCTGAGACGCTCCCTGGGCATGCAGTCGCTTTCTAGTTCCCATATGCGCAGTTGTTTAAGTGCCTTGTCCTACATGTTAAGCTCTGAAAGGAGGGAAAGGTGAAAAACTGGGGGAGGGTAGAGAAAAGGGTGCCAGCTCTTTAAATCCCCTGGAAGTCACTTCAGCTGGAGGGGGCGGGTCTTGCGACCCCTTTGTCTGCATCTCTGATCAGAAGCACCAATCACCAACCAGCTCACAGATCCCTGACATTTGGAAGACAGGGTCCTGTTTGCCCACCTCGGTTCCTGCAGGCTGCATGTAGGCTGCACAGCCACCTGACCCCTGACGAGTGAGGGATGGGTAGCTGCTACTGTGCTAAGGACTGAAGTTGAGCAAAATCAACCACAATTTTACTGTCCAAGTCTTCCCCTGGAAGTTGCAGGCCTTCCAGACTCCAGAGCTCCACAGGCCTTGCATCAGACAGATTCTGGTAGTTGTCCAGGGGGACACGTGCTTCCTGCCCCACCATCTGCCCCTTGCTGCTGGGCTCCCTCCATGTAAGAACACTGTGGAAAGGGTGTTTGTTTCCGCTGGGCTGTCTCTGCCTTTAAGCTTTTCCAGACAACAGAGAGGAGGTACTTATGTGCTGACACATCTAGAAGTTCCTCCAGTGCCGTCGTCTTGGTGTTTTTTTAAAAATATGTTTTTATTGATTTTAGAGAGGAAGGGAGAGGGAGAGAGAGATAGAAACATTGATCGGCCGCCTCCTGCATGCCCCCCACTGGGGATCGAGCCTGCAACCCAGGCATGTGCCCTGACTGGGAATTGATCCAGTTACCTCTTGGTTCATGGGTTGACACTCAACCACTGAGCAACACCGCCCAGGAAGTCGTATTGGTATTAAATGCATTGTTTGTTCATCTGAAAATGTGTAAAAGGTTTCATCGCTGAAAGATGGTGTTGTGTTCACAACTCTGGGCTGACAGTTTCTCTCAGCATGTTAAAAGTATCATTTGACTGCCTTCCGACTCCTTGCTGCTGTTGAAAATGGCTGTCATTCCAACAGATGCTCCTTTCTGGGTGATCTGCCCTCTTCCTCTGCCCCCTTTGAAGGTCCTCTCTCATGTTGGTGCTCAGCAGTTTCATGGCATGGGCATGGGCATGTCCCTAGTACATCTTCAGAGTGTCGGATTTATAACATTTTAACACTTCTCATTTTATCTTCTTGAAGTTTTCCGCCTCTCTGTCTCTGTGCCGCATTCTAGGTAACGTCCTTGGTGACATCTTCCAGTTCACTAACTGTTCCTCCAGCTGTTCCTGGATCAGCTAGTAACCTACTGACTGAGGCCTGGCAGTCCACACAAACTTTTGTTTCCAAATGTATCTGTTTGTTCCTGATCACCCCTTGTTGCTTGGTCATTTTTGTCGTACCTGTTCTGTGTTCTGTTTCTGACAAGTTCATTACCTTGGGTCTCTGGATCTATTGGTTTGTTTTTCCTGCTGACTTTCAGTCGATTATAGTGGCTTGTTTTTTGTTTAACTGGTGACTTTCAGGTTGCACTCATTGCTTGATTTTTTCGGGTGGGAGACCTGAGACCCACACTGGGATAGGGAAAGCTTCCTCCAGAGAGAACTACACCTGCTCTTCCCTGAATCGGGGGACATCACTATCCCTGAGGGCCCGTTCAACATGGGAGCGCAGGCTGCCTTCTGGACTCTGCTGCTGGCCCATGCTCGGCAGCAGCCCCCAGGGAGCCTTCCTTTCCCAGCTGCTCACATAGTTTGGCCCAACCCCAGCTCCTCTTTGCTCCATTCTCAGTTCAGTCTTCTTGTTTGCTTATTTTGGAAAGTGGGAGGAGGGCGTGAGAGTTCTCCCCTACCTCTTGTGGAGAGGGCAGTGTCTCAGATGGTGTTGCCACCCAGACTTCAGGGTCTGGCTGTGTGGGGGGAAGGATGTCCCCTCAGAGCGCCTGGGCAGCCCAAACCGCCCATGGCAGTTATCTGGGTTATGCATCTAAACATCCTTCCTGTAGTTTCAGTGGAGTATGGGCAGAAGTGGGGTAGATGTGAGTGTTCAGTCCACCATCTCTGCCAGGACTCCCTCCCAATCACTTCTCAATGCCCTACCCCTGCCATCTCTGATGCCAGGCCTTGGTGCTCAGCAGCCTGGTGAGGGGACTGCATGTGAGCAGTGGGTCCAAACACCATTTTACACTATTCTGATGCTTGATGTGTGCTCTTCTGTGACGTCTACAGGAGACTGTACTCTGGGGGGGGCCTTGTCTGTTCACTCTGTCCAGGAAACGCAAGACGAGGGCCACCAATGTCAGAAAACATAGTCTTTATTCAAGTGCACAGATCAGTAACGTGACAATGCCAGGTGAGGTGTCCCAGCCTGCCTCCCTTTTTTATCTCCCGGGGCGTTGCCTGCTTGGATGCCAGGAGCAGTGAGCGCCCAAGGCAGCCTTGCTCTGAGGAGCAGGCATGGGTTCAAGGCTCCTGTGCCAGCGGCCACCTGGGCACCAGGACCGAGGTATTTCACAGCCAGCGTGTGGGGCTTGGGGCTCCTGGGCCCGGGGCGGGTGGCTGTCCGGCAGGGCACCCAACCAGGCACTGTGTGTGCATCCTCTGCTCGGAGGACCATGGCGCATGGTGGTAAACACACTGAACGTGGTTTAGAGCAGACTTGAGTCTCCATGAGAGCGGACCTTAGGATGTGGGGCTACAAGGGAGAACTTGCAGAAAGGATGCTCCTGTTCCTGATGTCCCCTCCGGCCCGCAGGCATGCCCATGCAGAGGGGTCAGTCGACAGTGCTGCTCAGAGGTGACAGGGCTGCCGGCTCGGCCGCTCACTGTGTGGCCCCAACCCAACGACTGGGCCCACCAGCCACGGTCAGTCGAGGGGCTGCAGGCTCAGGGCTCACACACAGTTGTCAGGGATGCACTCCGCCTCCTCTTCAAGCTCTGGACAGGGCGCCCCGTGGTTGGCAGGCTGCACCCGGACGTAGCGAGTCCTGATCTTGGCTCCCAGCTTCCCGCACGAACCTTCACACAGCCCCCAGGATGACCAGAGAGAGACCTCACAGTCTAGTGGTGTTTCTGGAACTGAACCAAGCACAGAAGAGCCCCATGAGCCCCATGGAGGAGGAGCTGGGGGCAGAAGGGCACCCCCAGCGCATGTCCCTCCTACAAGATCAGCTCTAGACCAAAGTGGAGAGGAAACACTTGCTGTTCTCAGTACGGTTCAGTCAGGCACAAGAAAAGGCCGCCAAACTCCCTCCTAAGAAACCACGGGAACAATTTGTTTCTATACGCAGAGCGGATGCCGTGCTCATCTCCACAGTCTGGGACTGTGGGGACCGGCTCTGGCATCGTGGTGGCAAGAACCCTAGGGACTCTTAGCCATGTCCACATTCCCTGGAGAGGGGGACACTCCTGTTGTGAGACACACGCTGAGGCCTCTACCTCCTGCTGGGAATCCAGCACTGACCTGCTTCAGGGCTGACCACGCAGGAGCACAGCCCCACACTGACACAGGCCTCCACTAACCCCCACTGTCTCCTGTGCCGTGGAGGGCACAGAGGTCCACTAGTGAAGTCCTTCCTGTCTGCCATGATAGCCCATGTGGCACACTAATGACGGGGCCTCCTCTATACCTCCTTCCAGGCTGCAAACGAGTGAAATCTTTCACTTACCAGTGTTGGGCAAGAGTCTAGTCTTCAGTGTAGAATTTGAATCAACCAGCCACCAAATCTCCCAGAACTCTGGTTGCCCTCACAGAATCCTCTGAACCCCCATAACCCCATTGTCTTGTACCACACACTGGGAACCCCCAGACCCCAGAGGTCTTGTACCGAACTAGTTTTGAAGTCGCCCAGAGACACGGCTTCTCGTGGCCCTGTGAGCATGGTGCCTGGCCTGTCTGAGCACCTGTGGCCTCTCCCTGGTTTGACTCCCTTCCTGACACCCTGGTGTCGCTGGTATCCTAGCCCAGCCTTGTGGTGGGCACATCACCCCCAAGAACCTGGCTTAGAATTAGGTGACCTCAGGTGCAAGTTGGGACTGCTGCAGGGAAGCACTGTGGGGTGGATGACATGACCAGGGCCCTGGACCATCTCCTCTTGTGGGATGACATTTGGCAATTGGCTTGGCCTCTGGAAGTGTGGCGGATGTCAGGTGTCATTACTGCCACTTCACAGATGGTCCCTCTCAGGACACTCACTTTCAGGACTGTTCTAAGGGTGGAAGGTGAGAGCCGAGTGCAGGGTCTGGGGACCAGCAGCTGCCTGTTGCAGTGAAGGCCGAGTGCATCCCCATGTGACACACTAGCCTGAGTGGTCTCTGCCCCCCATGTGCCAGTGTGGACGTGGCAACCCCCATGGGCCTGAGCCCTTGGCCCAGGAACCCAGCTGTTGAGGGCAAGGAATGCTGCAGTGGGGGTGGAACCTGGGCTTACCTGAGAGGCTGTCCACGATCTCATTGCCCCTGCCTACCAGGTCCATGGCGGGGGGCACAAAGGCCCTGGGGCTCTGCCGGAGCCGCACCAGGGTCACCCTGGCGATGGGGGGCAGGGCCTTCAGCCGTGGGTAGTAGAAGGAGTTTGCCGGGTGGCTGGGGGAGGAGGATGTTATCTGGGGAGGGCGGGAGGAGGGGTGTCTGCACAGGCCCGGAGCCCAGGAGCCCACCTGCACCTGCTGTGTGCTCGGCCAGGCCGGAGCCAGTGGAGTGCAGCAGGGCAGTGTGGGAACACCCCACCTGGGCCTTCGCGGCTCATTGGGGTGCCTGGCCCACGGCCTGGGGAAGAGACCAGGAAGGCCTCCCTCCTCCAGGCACCCACCTCGACCCCCCATCCTATAGCATAGCCAGCTCCCTCCTGGGCAGGGCCATACCCTGCTCAATGGGACCCTCCGGACAGGCGTGCCATCCAAATAGGGCAAAGCTGGGCAACAGGAGCCGCCCCCGAGTGGCCAGTGCTGGCACAGCCTCCGGTTGTCCCTCACCTCGGTCACTGTGTCCTGTGGGATGGTGGCGAAGTTGGGGGAGGAGAAGGTGAAGCCGCTGTCTGTCCCTGCGTCATGCGGGTAAAGGTCCACTGCGACACGCTCCCGCCAGCGGCTCCCATCACACAGGTCCAGACTGTCGACGCCCACAAACCAGTCCGGGCTGGGGACAATTCGGACCACAAAGGACACCTGGGGGGCCAGGTGCTCAGCAGGGTGGCCACCACAGCCTGAGCCTCTGCCCTTCCTCCCACCGTCTGCCACTCACCAGTGAGTGCCTGGCGTGGACCTCGAACTCTGCAGAGGTCTGCCCGGTGCCGCTGGGCACGGCGGGTGCTGAGAACACCTCGTGCACGCTCTGCATCTTCTCTCCGGCCGCCTCGATCTCCTTCATCAGTGCCCAGGCCTCGCCCCGCTCCACGAAATCCCTCAACCCATTGCTGGCATACTGGTTCTCCCGCCACATGCTGTAGTCGGAGCTGTGTGCTGCCCCTGTGGGCCCGTCACCCTGTGAGCAGCCGCCCCCCATGAGCTTACCCCTCTTCCCATCCATTGCATATGGACGTCCTGCGGCCTCAGGCTGCCCCAGCGCCTTGCTGCTGTGACTGGCATCCAGTGGCCCTCCCCATGACTCTGTCCATCCTGCTCCCCCCATCCCCAGAGCCCAGGCCTTCACTGGCCAGCAGGCAGTAGGCACCCAGCAAATACTTATTGCACTGCAGTGAATTGGATTAGAGTGCCCTCCACACTGTGAGATGTGTTACAGCTGCCAGGTGGCTTTCCCCTCCTGGTGGACATGCCAAGTGCAGGGACGGGGCCGCACTTACCCAGCAGGGAAGACCACTGCGCGGGCGGCCGGAACAGTGGATACTGCTTGGGAAAGGCTGTCTGGCTCCACTTGCCCATGAAGGTGATGCTGTACTTGGCCAGGGGCCGGGCCGTACACACGGAGTCTCCCCCCAGGGGCTGGCTGGCCACGGAGCCAAGCGCAGCCAGGAGAAGAGCCCAGAGGGCCCTGCCCTGGGCGGCTGGGGTCAGAGTTTCCATCACCTGGGAGAGGAGGGAGAGCACCACATGCTGATGCCACAGGTCCCCAAACACCCTGCAACGTGCCTGCCTCAACAGGACCTAGGTGACAGCCCTAAATATCCCTTCCCAGCTCCTGAACAAGAACCCATTTGGTCCAGTGCCTAAGAGGTCACCAGAAAAGACCAGGGAAAGTCAAGGCCTTGGCATGTGCTGCATCCGTCTCAGGCTTGGCCTGACCCCCATTCTGGAAAGTAAAGCTGGTTGAGTTACAGCTGGATGGGAGGTGTGTGTCTAGGAACCCAGGGTGCCCCGCAAGTTTAGAGCCCTGATGCTGGGTGTGGCACCCCCAGTTACACACCTCTGGCTCTGCAGTCCGAGGGAGCCCAGAACCTGGAGGGTCAACTTTTGGACTCACTGTGCCCAGGACTGCATGGCCAACTCGTGCCTCCTTCTGGGGTGCTGCAGTTTTCTGGGTGGGGGATGGGGGAGCACCAGGAGGCCCGGGTGACTTGGGAATTGGGGGCAGAGGCGCACACGCAGTACTCACCCAGCGGGAGCAGCAGGAAGGCAGACAGCTGGGCTGTGGCCTGGGATAGTCCCAGCAAGAGCCCAGAGCTCCAATTTATGCTGAGGTTGGCACCGCTGGCCAGCAAGGCCCCAGGTCCCCCACTGAGGCCGTCAGGGAGCGGGCGATAGGACACGGGTGAGAGGAAGAGGCTCGGTGCCCTGCAGCTGCCCTGGTCTCCTGGCTCTGAGGCTGAGGGAGGCTTCTCCAGCGCTGAGGTCACTCTGCTCTGGTCGGGTGCCTGCCAGTTGCCGCACCCCTTTCTTTGTCTTCTCCTCCCTCCCCTCCCTTCCTCCCTCCCTCCCTCCCCTCCCTCTCCTCTCCCTGCTGCTCTCTGCTTTCCCATCAGGCCTTCCTAGTGTCTCCCTGGAGGTGGTGCCAAAGCCAGCGTGTTGCAGCCACCACCGCAGCCTGGTGGTGCGCATGCTGGAGCTGCTGGGAAGTGGGGCCTTGGACTCCGGCTGCCCTGAACACAGCCGCCTGCTCACATCACAGGGCTACACAGAGCTGGGTGGATGTGGTCCCTCCAGGGAGTCAGAACCATGGAGACCAGTGCTCAGGGATGAGAAATGCCACTCAGAGCCCTCCCGAAAGGCTGCCCTGCAGCTCCCCTGGGGCAGAAGGCACCCACCCAGACCACTTTCCTGCGAGGGGCAGAGTGTGAAGAGTGCCTGGCATGCAGGGCGTGGCTGACAGATTCTGAAGGTTGTCACTGCTCCTGTCGGGAGAGTGCTTCTGGACCCCGAGTTACGAGGCCTGGGAGCTGAGAGAGAGGACAGGATGGTCCTGCCCCTCAGAACCCAGGAGGGGTTGTGCTTGAGCAGAAAGCATTCTGACTTCTGCTAATGCTCCACATATTCAAAAGAGGGGAGAAAGGCATCATCAAGAATAGATGCACAAGTGATGTCTCCTGCATCTCGGATAAATACGGCAAAGAAGTAGCTGTGAGCACCGTGCTGGGACTTCAGGTCCTCCCTGAAGACAGCCTGGCTCAGTGGCTGACGTGGACTCGGGACCCTCACACCAGAGAGCTGCTGTGTTTGGGTGATGCAGAGCCTCTCAGAACTCTTAGCTCACTTAGAAATAACAAAAACGTACCTCTCACACATTCACAGAAATAGCATAGTGTTTTATAAAAACAACTCTATCTTTCAAAAAGAAAGCCTTCGTGAGAAAGTGGCTGGGCTCTGCCTCCCTGCTTCTTTCCTGTCTGGCCCCTGTGCCTGTCCTACAGGTGTGTCGTGGTTGCCATTGGTGGGGCCCTTGCTGGAGGGGGGCAGTGCTCTCGTGGCCTCAGTGGACCCTTGGATGTACCACCAGCCCTGGGAAAGCCCCACACCCGATGCCTTGTTCCCCTTGGAGAAGCGGTGATCTGGGGTCTGAGGATAGGAGAGGACATGCTTGGGGTGTCACGTCTGCTCTCCCACGGTTCGCTTGGGCACAGTCCAGTTCTCACCTGCTGTTCAGCAGCCACTGATGGCCTCAGGGCCCGCCCCACTCTGCAGTAGGCCCAGGACGACTGAAAAGTAGCCTAGCGTCATCAGGAGGCTGCTTCCCCAGCCCCCCACCCCCCACGGGAGGGCTCTGCAACTCTGTGGAGCCCCACCTGGGATGTGCTGCCAGTGGGGACCAAAGGCCAGGAGACAGGGCCCATCCTGGTCCAGGATGGAGGTGGGGGCCTGGGAGGAAGGTGGCCAGGAGGCACTTCCTTTGGTGGTGGGGTGTTCCTCCTCATGACCATGCCTGAGGGGATCTTGGGACACAGTGGGACGGGGTAGGGGCTGTTACTTGCCATGCTCAGAGAGGGACATAGGAGAGACCAAGAGAGGTGACCTGTGGCCCCTTGGTCTAGGCCTCAGGTGGGGAGCCCAGCTGGTAGGGAGTAGGCTTACTCCGTGAGTCCTGGACTCTGCTGCAGACCACTCTGACCCTCAGAGTCCTCTTCTGCAAACCAGGTTGCTACATCCTATCTCCTGCTGAGGATAAAGTGTTGAGCACCTTCTGGGCGTCAGCAGTGGGGACACAGAACTGACCTTAGTAGACAACAGCCCTGCTCCCCAAGGCTTCGGGAGGAGGGGCTGGGGGTTAGGGAGAATACTTTTTTTAGATGGGATTCTGTTATTTAATGAATGGTTAACTGGTCGACACTGATTCCAGGGTCCCTTCCACTAAGTCACTGTGCTCAGTCCCCCCTGTGTTGGTTTTAGGGGAATGAGGCCCAGGGGTGTGGCTGCAGGCCAGGACTGCACCCCCACACTCCTGTCTGCACCCCATGCTCCCTGCCTGCCCTCCTCCCCCGTGACTCTAATGGCTGCTGTGGGCATCCCTTATGCCCTGACCCCCGACCTCAGTGCCTGCTGTGGCTCAGATTAGAGTAGGTACAGGATGAGCACTGTGGGCCCACCTCAAGGGTGTTTGCCATTTTTAAAGGTGTCTAACCCAAGGGTGTTGCTAATGGTGGGCTTTGGGCAGCGGTGAAGTCCTTCCAGACTGGGGAGGAGGGGTTTGTGCAGCTCAAACTGGCCTTGGAGGCTGTGGGGTTTCCAGGAGCCCGAGTGTGTGAGTTGCTGAGGACAGGCCTGGCACAGGGAGCGCTGGGTACTCTGTGTCACCTCTGTCCCCGGTTGTGGCCCTGCCCTGGAGCCCAGAACCCACAATGCTCCAGGGGTGCTCCACCTCCAGCTGGACCAGGATGACCTTGGTCACCCCTCCATGTGGCTTCTGGCCCAGGGGCCCTCTAGGTCTGGAGTGACAAGGCTCATTCAGGGCCCTCCCTGGGCGTGGCACAGGCCTGACTTGGGCGGGGTGAGGGTGGGGGACACAGACTCAGCACATAGACTCAGGCCTGTGTCTGGCTTTCTGGGGGGACGCTGCCAGCCGCACAGGCACACATTTGTCTGCTCACTCACCCACTCAGCAGACATTTACCAAGGGCCGCTCCTGTCAGACACCACAGGCCGCACACAGCTTTCCCAGGGCGGCCCCAGTCCTGCAGGCTGAGCCTCCAGCCTCCGCCCCAGCCCCTGGGTCCCTCTGCTCAGCATCTCTTCCTGCACCGGCCTGGGCCGGGGTCCTCCCAGGAGTCTCCCACTGTGTCCTCCCTCCAGGGTCTCAGGGAGCACCTCCTGCGCAGCGGCCAGGGGAGTACCTGGTCACCGCCAGGAGCCCCACTAGTGTAAGCAGAGAGACTTGCCTCAGGTGTAAGCCGCTTACAGAGTTGTTAGGGCTGGACAGAGTGGGCTGAGCTTCCAAAGCCGCCAGTGGCTGCTGGCCCCATCTGCCCCAGAATCTGCCCACCTTCCTCCAGCTCAGCCCCACTCCTGACTCAGATTTCTCTGCGCACCCCTGACCCATCTGGAATCCCAGGTCCTGGGCTCAGTTTTGCAGCCTCTGCAGTTCAGGTTCAGGGAGGTGTTGAGCAAGGGCTCCCCACACCCTCTCCTTGCTGCAGAGCTAATCCCCATGGCGGCCTTGCCTGCAGGATTGCTCTGTAACCATGCCCCCCACCAGCCATGCAGGGGGACAGGGAACCCAGGACTCTGGCCAAGCATGGCCATGACCTCCAGCTCTGCTCCGAGGAGGCCGGGCCACACTGCGGGCCCAGGTCTGGGTGGTGTGCCATTCTGGCTGTGAGCACAGGTGTGTCTGCCTCCCAGGGACACAGGTCTGCCTGTGCTGGGCTGCATTTACCCGGTGTCTTCATCCCAGTTTAGAAGCCAGGACTTTGGCAAACATGGCAAAGTGGGAATTTTTGAAAATGCTGCCCTTGGTAAAAGAGAAAACAGGCAAAAATGGGCAGAACAAACTTATTCAGCATAGTGAGTCCTCTGTGTCCTGGATAGGTTCTGTGACTTTAAGCAAAACAACATAAAAGAAACCAGTTGTACCCCAGGCTAAGGGATGTGAACTTGGATGAAGTCCCTGAGCAGCCCGGCCGGCGTGGCTCAGCGGTTGAGCATCGACCTAGGATCCGGGAGATCAGGGTTTGATTCCCGGTCAGGGCACATACCCGGGTTGTGGGATCCATCCCCAGTCAGGGGCGTGCGGGAGGCAGCTGATCAATGACTCTCATCATCAGTGATGTTTCTATCTCCCTCTCCCTTCCTCTCTGAAATTAATAAACACATATTAAAAAAAACCCAAACAACTTCCTGAGCAGCTCACCAAGGTTAGAACAAAACACCTTCAACAAATGACCTGACCCAGGACCAGCTGTTTATGGAGGGTAGCCAGAGGCTGGCAGCCGTCTTTGGGTTTTATCAAGAAAAGTGGCTGAGTCTTGCTAAGGACTGAAGAACAACAGTTATGAGGTATTTGTCTTTTCCATCTTCAGCGTCCCGCTCAGTGGTATCAGATACACTTGCTGGTGTGGGGCCATCACCACCACCATCCCCAGAACTCGCTCCATCTTGTAAAACTGGAACTGTCCCATTAAACGCAGTCCCCTTCTCTTCCCCTGCACCCCCGCTCCACTTCTTTTGGCTGTGACCTCTGTAGAGGCCTTGTGAAAGTGGAATCAAAGCAGTGTTTGTCCATCCTTTCTGAGGCTGAGTAATATTCCATCGTGTGCATGGATCGCTTCGCTCATCTGCTCATCTGTCCACCGACACTTGGGTCCTTCTGCGTTTTGTCTGTTGTGAGTGATGCTGCTGTGACATGGGTGTGCAAATATCTCTTCAAGGCCCTCCTTTCAGTTCTGGGTTAAATACCCAGAAATGGGATTGCTGGGTCCTAGTGTAGCCGTACTTTTAATTTTCTGAGGAACCTTAGTGATTGTACCATTTTACATTCCCACCACCGGCATACAGGGTTCTGATTCCTCCACATCCTTGGCAGCTGTGAGGTGTCTGAATTCACCCCAGGCTCGTCCCACTGCTCAGTTCTGCGTAGCCTTGAAAATTAACAGGCCACATTCATGGTAAAAACCAATCAATAGCCTGTCAGTCCCAGGATGGAACAGGACTGGGCTGGAACTCTTTCAAAGGAAGTTGTCTCTGGACTGTCTGGTGGTTTCTGGGAGGACCCCACTGCACAGCTGCCTGTATTTACTCAATGCCGCACTCACCCAG